TGAACAATCTGTAGATGGTGATTAGTCCTACTCATTTATAGACATTATTACGTCTGTTTACTAAACATAATCTGGACAAATACATATATAGAACTGCATGTGTAATATAAATGTAAATTTAAATTCAAAGGAAAGAATGTAAATATATACCAAAACTGAATCCTAATCCTGGTTCACATTGTTGAGCAGCTTTTGTATGTTGTAACCTCCAGTCAAAACGAGGAATACTTCTCAGAACCTGTAAAGAACAATTTTATTAAAACATATTTGATAGATTAAATATAAATCAAATAAAAGAAGATAGCAATTTATTTCGCCATACTTGAGAATATAATTTTTAAAAGTTATTATTACTTAAATGCCTTCAACTGTAAATTGATTACTATAATAAATAAGGAAATTAATAGTTATATGAACACTTATTGGAGAGAAACTATTAAAAATAAAAAAGTAGCTAAAACAAAATAAAACTAATCAGTGGTAACTGCATTACTGAAGTCAAGGGTTTCCAGGACAAAAAAGTCAAGGACAGCAGACTTATGGCCACTGTTCTAGAAATCTCATCTACAAGGTAGGTCCTAGGACGTTGATGATTAGGGATATGGGGTAGGGGTAACAGTGGGATGAAATAGTACTGTGTTAGAGAGTTGACTGTTATTGTTGTTGTTAGGCATCATCAAGTTAGTTCCAACTCATACTGACCCTATGTACAATAGAATGAAACACTGTCTGGTCCTGCGATATCCACAACAGGTTATTTCGAGTGCCTTCCAAACTGAGGGGCTCATCTTCTGGTACTATATTAGACAATGTTTCCCTGCTATGTATAAAGTTTTCAGTGGCCATTTTCCACCCCCAGAAGTAGACCTGGCCACATCCTTCTTAATCAGGAAGCTACGCTGTACACCAGGAGCAGTCATGCTAGTATTTGAACTACTGGTGGCATAGCTTCCAACATCACAGCAACACACAAGCCACCACGGTATGACAAACTGACAGATAAGTGGTGGAAGAGTTGACTAGTCTGTCAATTATGATACCCTGTCTCTGTGGGCCCCCAGGTATGTCTTTGTGAAACTTTTCTTGGAGTATACCATTTCTAAGATAACTCCTCTATCTAACAAAGAAAATCAGCATAAAATGATATTCTATATTTTCTGCTGTTGTCTGTAAGTAGTCTTAGAATGTTTTAAGCCAGGGTCAGCAAACTATGGTAGCCAGCAGTTTTTGTAAATAAAACACCTAAAAAACTCCAAACCAAACGTGTTGATCCCAACTCATGGCAACTCCATGTGTTACAGAGTAAAACTGCTCTATAGGGTTTTCTTAGCTGTAATCTTTACTGATGCAGATTGACATGTCATTTTTCTCTGGCACCACTAGGTGGGCTCAAACCATCAACCTTTATGTTAGCAGTAGAGCACGAACTGTTTACCTTACCAGGAGACCTATTATAGTAGTGCCACTCCGTACTTTTAAAGCCAACATCTCAAGTAGAGTTGAATAGTTGCCACAGGGACCATAAGGTCCATAAAACTGAAAATTTTTACCATCTGATCTTTTTAGTTTAAACCCACCAACCACTCCTTGGAAGGAAGATTGGGCAATCTACTTAGTTAGAGATACCACCTCGGAAACCCAAGGACGGGTAGCCATGAGTCAACTCGACTCTAGAGCAGTGAGTTTGTTTTTTTTTGGTTCAGTCCTTTGCAAACAAAAAGTTCACCACACCTGTTTTAAACTACTGATTTATTACTCTTTGTGTTATGCTTAAACATATTTACATTTCTTCAAAAGGCCACAGACAAAACGATGTAATTAGATACACACATACTGTTCACTTTTGTAATCCAGTTCTATGTTTAGGGCAATTTAATGAACACAACAGTAACCACTTGCATTTATTTAGGTTATCAAACTGAAAACCACTATAGCACCCCTAAAAAAGTTTGAGATAGTCAAAATTACACAATTTAAAATTTAAAGGATTTTGATGGAACTGTCCCTTGGCAATTCTGATAAGTGAGATACAAAAAGAAAACAGAACTGAATAATATACTAAACAATCAAAAAGTGAACTTGTTTTTCAGAATCTGTAAAAAGTGTCTATTTTATAGATGACAACTCCAACTTATAAAGACAATCACTTACATTTCAAGTGACTATAATTAGACTGTCAAATATCATCTTTCAATTTGAACAGGGTGGCGTAGCGCCTAATGCACTACATTTTTCAGGAAAACATTTACCCTATAAGACAAAGTACCTTACAAAGGTGGCTCTAGCCAAAGAATAGTGCACATTAACCTGTTAATCACATAACGATGACAGCTATTTAAATAAACAGAAGTGATTTAGTAAAAATAGCACAGAAAAAAAAACCGCTGAATTTGTCTAGGCTCCACAGCTTTCTGTGATCTTGGGCAGGTTACAATTTCTGGTAATTTTACAAAACTGAAATATGGCTAATATCACTGGGTAATTTGATTAAAATGAGATAATGTTTTGAATATTTAGCATGTTTTTTAGGAGTATGAGAGCCTTACTTTAATGAGTGTGTCAATGAAGAGATGAAGGGGTTAAGTTTTTTGGATGGGGTTTACCTACCTTTCCTCAGAGTGATTAAGAAATCTCTAAGCTAACTCATAGCGACCCCTCCCTTGGGTTTCCGAGGCAGTATCACTACCGATTGCCAAGACTGGGCAATCAATCTACTTTCGTGGTGATACTGCCTCGGAAACCCAAGGAGGGGTCACTATGAGTTGGGTCTGGCTCGATGGCACATAACAACAACAACAACAAAGCCGTCCTTTCATCTGGTGTCAGAGTTAAAAATAATTTTTAAAACACTCTCATTTCTGCCTTCAGAGCCCATTAACTTGTATAGCAATGAAAACAAATGGGCAACAATCCATTAGAATTATTCTAAATTCTAAAACGGCAATTTTTCTGGTCAAGGACAAAATTTTCTTAACTCAATTTTAAGTAACATTAAAATGGCAGTATTATCTGAACATATCAATGTGTCAACGCATGCATATAGTATCTGAGTTACTCAAAATTTGTTAAGACACAAAAGTGTAATGTACAGCAAAGTTTCAAGGAAAGTTCAGCGCGTTTTTAATTTCGGCAACATGAAAGCGTCCTCCTTCATCTTACAAAACCAAAAGCGCACTAAGCATAGTAAGTATCCTCAAGACCAGCTGCCCCAATTTACCCTGTGATTTGGCAGACACCCAAGTTAAGACGATCTGAATTCTATACTTTCTAGTATACATCAGTTGCAGAATGACATTTACAGTATGATTTCCTTCCTGGACGGGGGATGAAGAGCAGGTAGGAAGAGGGTTTTCTCAAGAAGACGCTAAGTAAATAGAGGAAAACCAGCGCTGTGGTTGAGACCTCCGCCCAATTCCGAGACCGGTTCACTACCAGAAAAGGGTAACATTCCTGGATAGTTTCCCAGGCCACAAAAATAAAAATGGATATTCTGAAGAGATGATACAGCCTACATAAGGGTCGGATGCCCAGAGAATATGGGAAAGTGAAAACTTGGGATATACTGCGTCCAGAGCTAAGAGGGCGTTGGTGTGAGTCAGGCAAAGGTTTGGAATCCCGCACGGCAGCCAGTGGTGGGGTAAGGAGGGCCAAGGGGTTCTGAAGCAGGCTCCTTCATCACCACTGGTTCTTTCCCCTTTTTTCTCCCGCCTAGTGGTCCCCTCCCCAAACAGCGCAACATCCATTCCCCAACCCTACCGCAACCCGCGTTTCCTCCTCACCCTGCAGCTTCGCCTGAAAATCGCTGCCATCTTAGCTCTCGCTCCAACCACTCAGGCACCAACGCATTGAGGAGACCAAAGAAACTGAACAGCTTAGTGGCCTTTCCAGTGAAGAACCCAGCTGGCCCCGCCCACCGGGGGGGGCAGAACAAGGGCGCGGCGGGGGCGGGGCCCCGGGCTCCGGGGCCCGGAAAGACCAAGCAGGGAACAATGCCTGGAAAGGGACGCGTGCGCGGTTTATCCGAGCACTTGCTCTCGGTGACCTTTGCCCGTGCTGTCCACGCAACTTTGAGAGGAGTCTCGGAGCACTTTGGGGACCTGACTGGGCCTAGAAGCGGTCCCCGAAACGGCTTATTTTTCTTCTTTTTGGTCTTAACCGTGCGCCCTCTATGGGGGAAGTTGGGTCTGAGAGTGCGGAAAGGGAGGGCCACGGTGGGCCAGAGGGCGCCGGGAGATGGGCAGAGCGGGGTGGTGCTGAAATGAACGGGGAATCTGGGTGAGAGGCCGTTGCTGGTGCTCTGGGCGTCAGCTGTCCGAGGATAGCTGTTGGAGGCCGTTCGGCAGAGCATTCTCCTGGCCACCATCCTTGCCCTTTACCAGGCTAATTTGTCAAGTCCAAATGCTTCCACTGCAAGAATTCAAAATAGGCTTTACCTGCAAACGCTGGTCCTAAAACCGAAGTACAGTATGTTCTGTGCCCCGGAAAAATATAATAAAGAAACGATAATTTAATTAAGGTAAAGTCTATTGCTGCTCTAGTTTGTGGATGTGGGGAATGCCCTTGGTTCATCAGATGAATGTTGGAAGTAACTATCTGCCTGAAAAATTCTACTTAAAATTATTTTCTGTTCAAATTAGACCCTGAATTCTAAGATGGTTGCTGTGATGTTATAAAGTTGGGGGGAGGGGCGTCGTTTTTCAAAAGCTGTTGAGGTTTGGGACTCTTTGGAAAAGCTAAGAAAAGTCCCGATACAAGGGAAGAATGTCTGTTTCCCTTATTTCCCAGGACTCTTCATTTTCTTTGCTGCCATCCTGATTTAGGGTCTCTCTCACCTCACCCCTAAATCTTGTTACTAATTTGCTTAGGAGACCCTGGGTGGTGCAAACAGTTAAGGTACTCGGCAGCTAATTGAAAGGTGGAAGGTTCTAGTCCATCCAGAGGTGCCTGGGTAGAAAGGCCTGGTGATCTTTCTCAAAAATCAGCCATTGAAAACCCAGTGGAGCATTGTTCTGTGTGTTGTGTGTTCTGGTACACATGTGGTTGCCATGAGTAGGAATCTACTTAGAAAATATGAACAACAAAAGTAATCACCCATATTCCCATCATTAATGAACTATTAATATTTTCCCATATTTGTTCTATTTCTGTGTGTATACATGCATATATATTTTGTTGTTTGTTTTGTTTTTGGCAGAAGCATTCAAAAGTAAATTGTAGACATTAAGACACTTAAACATACATCTCCTGTAAGGCCATTATCTTATGTAACCAAATACTTTTTATCATATCTAAGAAAATTAACAATTATTCTCTAGTATTTAATGTCCTGTTACTATTTAGATTCCCCCACTTGTCCTGAAAATGCCTATTGTGTATAGTTTCTTTGTTGTTGATCCTTTAATCTTTTGTTACTACCTTAATCTAAGTCAGTTCCTTTACCTTTAGGGTTTTTTTTTTTTTTTTTTTACAGTGAATGTATATATATATTTAATGAGACAAAGCCAATTATCTTGAAGAATGCCCTACTTCTGTATTGCCTGGTTGTGGATATTTAATTTGTTCCTTTATACCTTGTATTTCCTATGAAGTGTAAATTGCTACACACTTGAGCAGTTCGAATTAAACAGATTTGGCAAGGGCATTTCTACGGTCATGTTGTGTTAGTCATACTGTATTACAGCAAAACCAAAAACCAAACCTGTTGTCATGTCAATTCCAATTCTATAGGGCAGAGTAGAACTGCCCCATAGGGTTCCCAAGGCTATAATCTTTATGGACGCAGACTGCCACATCTTTCTCCTGGAGCAGCTGGTGGGTTCAAACTGCTGACCTTTTAGTTATCAGCAGAGCTCTTTAGAGAGCTCTGGAAGCATAATGCCTAAGGCACTTGACTGCTAACCAGAAGGCTGGCAGTTCAAACCCACCAGCCACTCCTTGGAGGATCGGTCAGGCAATCTACTTCTGTAGTGATAACTGCCTCGGAAACCCAAGGAGGGGTCGCTATGAGTTGGGTCGGACTCGATGGCACATAACAACAACAGAGCTCTTAAACCACTCCACCACCAGGGCTCCTTTGTATCAGAACAGCAGGAACAGAGTGTCAGGTTTGTCTTACTGGTAATAATAATAAATTGATAATAATTTGTTTTAGGTGGTGACTGACTAGCAATTCTTTCTATAGTAAAAATGTGTTTTTACCTTTGTGTACTTCTCTTGGGAAGTAATCTATATAGGGTGCTATTTGGCACCATGCCAAGCAGTCTTTAACCTAAACTTTATCTTGTAGTAGTGTGGTGTAGTAAATTACCTGGTATGGCTTTTCTAGCCATGTTGTTGTTGTTGTTGTTATGTGCCGTCGAGTCGGCCCCGACTCATAGTGACCCCTCCTTGGGTTTCCGAGGCAGTATCACTACGGAAGTAGGATTGCCCAACCTTCCTTCCGAGGAGTGGCTGGTGGGTTTGAACCGCCAGCCGTCTGGTTAGCAGGCAAGTGTCTTAGCCACTATGCTACCAGAGCTCGTCTTTGTAAACTCCATGGTGGAATTTCGTATGAGCAACTGAGTAGCTCCTGATTGTTAAAGTTACCCACTTGGGGTATTTCTCCTGTGTGTAGCACCAGCTAATTTTCTGGGAAGTTCTCGCTCTCTCAGGTGTATAGAATTCTGATACTGGGATTGGTTAGTTTGGCTACTCTGCCAGGCTCAAAAAGGAGCCCTTCTAGAGCCAGAGGAAGTCCCTCTGACTGCTGGCTGAGAAAGACATGCTGTTGAGGGAAATGCACTCTTGAGAGACATGCACTGCTGAGAGGCATTGCTGAGAGAGAGATGCAAGAAACATGCATTGCTAAGAGAGACACGCAGTGCTAGGAGAGAGACTGAGAGAGACTATTGGTTGAGAGTGGGCTGAGAGAGACTGAGCATTATTCCAGACCTTGAATTGTAGCCTGCTGCTTCCCTAATGAACTCCATAATCTGTGAGTTCTGTGTGACCACTGCAGCGAATTATCGAATTCATCAGAGAAGTGGTGGGTGCTGCAGGAGGAATGGTTGGTGTCAGGGTTGGTGAAAGGTCTGGAGGGAGGTAGCATGTCTGGCCTCGCAGGAATTGGCCTTGCGCTACTGGTAGTGATTCTGACTTCCTCTTGTGGGGATAGAGGAGGCCAGAAGATGTGGCCTCCCTGCCCCTTTGGCAGGTAGGCATGGAATCCATAAGTAGGTTTTTGTTAATTGGACCCTATTCCATAAAACTTTTACTACATTTTTAAGTGAAATAATACAAATATCTCTTCATTGTCTGTTCTTCCCTTGCCATCTCTTCCCAATCCAGTGGGAATATAATATATATGAGAGGCCATTCTTTAGATTAGCAGTTCTCAACCTGGGGTCCCTAAATAAACTGAAGATTGATCTCAGAATTCTCTGGAGTTAAATGCAAAAATATATGTATGTATGTATGTATATTGTTGTTGTTGTTGTTATGTACCATCGAGTCGGACCGACTCATAGTGACCCCTCCATATATATTTGTTTAATTATAAATTAATATGTTCATATAAATGTTATATATAAAAA